AATACATTCCATGCGTCGGGAAAAACATATAAAATGCAAAACACAACGCTACAAATTTAAATATTCCAAAACATAAGTTTGAATGCAAAATTAAAACAAATATAAATTTAAACATAAGTTACCATTACTCAAATACCCGGCAGATGGTTATGATTACCATTACTCACACTCAATCGCCATAATCCATCCTCCGTTGATTTTTTGCCAATTAACCTGAACGGACAAGAACGTTTCTTCAATAGTCCGTGTCGTCCAAATTGATATCTTTCACACGTTAAAACATGATATTTTTCTGATTTACGATGATTAATCAGTCGATGATTATGACTAATTGCTGTGTCTTTTGCCCACATAATTAACGCTTCTCTACTATCACACACAATACCACGTTCAAAGAAGTGACTATGATCGTGAGATTGTTCTCTTAGTTCCTGCATAAATATTTAAAATTAAAAGACAATATTTAAGGGATTTCGTAGACAATCACACGAAATGGAAGCTTGCATTTCGTGTAAACACACACGAAATAATAGCTTCCATTTCGTAGGTGTTACTACGAAATGTAAGCTTCCATTTCGTGTGACTGTATACGAAACACACAACTAACGATTTTAAGACATATTTCGTATAGTATTACACGAAATGAAAGCATATATTTCGTGTGTTATGATACGAAATCTCTAAAAACGTTGGAAACGAACAAAAAACGTGTATTTTCACCTCAAAATCGAAGCCGTTGCCATCCATGTCGATAATACTTGTGCTCTAACTGATATTGGTCGAAAAAATACTAAAATTGATAAATTTTAAGAATAAAAGGTTGAGAGTGTTTGAGAGGATATTTGGATAAGATTTGGAAAAGAAAAAAAAAATGAATTATTTTGCACTGCGAGTGGTAAAAATCGCACTGATAATAGCAAGCCCCAAAACAATTGAATGACCTTTTTAGCAAAAAAAAAAATAAAAAAAATTAAGCGACTGGACTTCTAATAAATTAATAACAAGCGACAATTACATATAGTTTTTGCGCCTAATCTTCTAATTTTGAAGATTTATTATATTTATCGCGGTGTTTGGATTTTACCTTTGTTCAGGCTTCCTTAATTGACACCTACCATATATATATATATATTTATTTATTAGTCGCAACCTACCTCCACCAATTCTTACGGCGGAGCTACGACGGTGTAATTGTCCGGCGAACGGTATCACTAGCCTGCGGTTTCAGGATCGAAGAACACCTCCAATTGATTTTATTTAAGGTACAATTTTTCCATCCGAACAATTTTTTTTGTTTAATTCCTTTGTCTTTGTTTTTTGTGCTTTTGGTTGTGGATGTAAAGGTTTGCTTTTTTTTTTTTTTTTTTGGTTTTTTTTCTTTTTTTTTTTTTTCTTTTTTCGGTTTCGTCAATTGAAAAACTTTTCTTTTTGTCACAAGTTTAGTGTTTTCATCCAATGTTACTGAGATTATTGATTTTATCTGAATTTTCGTCATCGAAGTTTTGCCATTAAATAATTGTATTGGTATAACAAACTAATCGATGTGCCGAATAAAATTATCTGGTTCTATTTAATGGGTTATTGCCCTTATGGAGCAGTTTGGACATATATTTATAAACTGCCTCTTATAAATTTCTCTTCGTCCCTAGCTATTTGTAATTTATGTGGGATAAATTTAGCGTACGGTAAATCCCGACAAGCCTGTTTCAATTGAACTGAACATTTAATCAAGGTGGTAAAATTTGGCAACTTATGAAAAAATCGAAACAATGTGCAAAATAATTTGTAGGTTTTCGGACAGAGTCTCGATTCATTAGGTTTTTGTAGTTAAACGCATATCATGACTAGTACTTGTTTGCAGGAACGAAATTCAGTTTCAGTTTACGTGTATTTTT